TTGGGAGAGGCAAAGCTGGGAGTCGTGGCGGGGAGAGAGGTTGCTGGGTATAAGATGATGCCAGGACAGTTCAGGATTGGCCTTGAGTTCCCCTCTAGAGTTGACCAGATTCTGAAGGCCAAGGCATTGTTCCAATAAACCAGACCCATCCTCATTGTTAGTCTCCTGGGGCCATAAAATCTAAGGGAGACAGGGTCCCCTGACAGAACCAAGTTAAATTTCCCAGAGATCTAGGCATTCATTCACCCTGATCCAGAGCCTTCATACACCCAGGAAAAGACTCACTATTTCTGCAGATAAAGGACTAAGGCCAGGAGGGTAATGAGGAAGTGTTGGGGGCATAATTCCCTGTGCACACCCAGCCATCTGAACTCTTCCATGGTGGCTCTGTGGGGCCCTCACATAGCCTCCATGCTCCTGCTCACACTGCTTGCCCAGCCAGGAGCCTTCCAGCTCCACCTGAGTTACACAAATACCCAAGTGAAACCAACCCGCTTCAGCCTTCTCTTCCACAGCCTCCTGTTTATTCCCAGATTCAGTCTCTTTCTTTTGCACCCTGGGTCCCTTCACTTGTGCTTCCACTGTGGGTGGTCACAAGCTCTGTGTGGATCTCTCTGTTGGAAGACACAGAATGCCCTATAAGTCAGGGACGGGTGTCATCCCTCACAGAGACAGCCATGTGGCCCAGGTTCCATACACACCTGCAAAACTGCTATTTATTTTTTAGTATTTTTTTTTTTTTGAGACAGAGTTTCGCTCTTTTTACCCAGACTGGAGTGCAATGGCGCAATCTTGGCTCACCGCAACCTCCACCTCCTGGGTTCAAGGAATTCTCCTGCCTCAGCCTCCTGAGTAGCTGGGACTACAGGCGTGCACCACCATGCCCAGCTAATTTTTGTATTTTTAGTAGAGATGGGGTTTCACCATGTTTACCAGGATGGTCTCAATCCCATGACCTCGTGATCCACCAGCCTCAGCCTCCCAAAGTGCTGGAATTATAGGCATGAGCCACGGTTCCCGGCCCAAAACTGCTATTTCTGGCTTCTATAAACAATATCTCCTGGGCTGGTGGCTCATGCCTGTAATCTCAGGGCTTTGGAAGGCCTAAGTTGGCAGATGGCATGAGTCCAGGAGTTTGAGACCAGCCTGGGCAACATGGTGAAACACGGTCTCTACAAAAAGTTAAAGAGAGGCCGGGCGCGGTGGCTCAAGCCTGTAATCCCAGCACTTTGGGAGGCTGAGGCGGGTGGATCACGAGGTCAAGAGATCGAGACCATCCTGGTCAACATGGTGAAACCCCGTCTCTTCTAATAATACAAAAAATTAGCTGGGCATGGTGGCATGTGCCTGTAATCCCAGCTACTCGGGAGGCTGAGGCAGGAGAATTGCCTGAACCGAGGAGGTGGAGGTTGCGGTGAGCCGAGATCGCACCATTGCACTCCAGCCTGGGTAAGGAGCGAAACTCTGTCTCAAAAAAAAAAGTTAAAGAGAGAGAGAGAGAGAGAGAGAGAGAGAGAGAGAGAGAGAGATAGGCACAGCGGCTCACACTGTATTCCAAGCACTTTGGGAGGCCAAGGTGGGTGGATCACCTGGGGTAAATTTGAGATCAGCTTGACCAAAATGATGAAACCCTGTCTCTACTAAATATACAAAAATTAGCCGACTGTGGTGGTATGCACCTGTAGTCTCAGCTACTCAGAAGGCTGAGGCAGAATAGTCACTTGAACGTGAAATGCAGAGGGTGCAGTGAGCTGAGATCTGAGATCTCACCACTGCACTCCAGCCTGGGTGACAAAGTGAGACTCCATCTCAAAAAAAAAAAAAAAAAGGAAAAGAAAATGGCAGGGCACTGTGGCTCATGCGTGTAATCCCAGCACTTTGGGAGGCCAAGGTGGGCAGATCATTATTACTGGTGGCCACGGAGGACTCACATCTCTTCAACCCATGGCCTCGAGCTCAGGGGAAGCAGGGATTTTTTTTTTTTTCGAGGCACAGTTTTGCTCTTGTTACCCAGGCTGGAGTGCAATGGTGCGATCTCCGCTCACTGCAACCTCCGCCTCCTGGGTTCAGACAGTTCTCCTGCCTCAGCTTCCTGAGTAGCTGGGATTACAGGCATGCGCCACCGTGCCCAGCTAATTTTTTGTATTTTTAGTAGAGACGGGGTTTCACCATGTTGACCAGGATGGTCTTGATCTCTTGACCTCATGATCCACCCGTCTTGGCCTCCCAAAGTGCTGGGATTACAGGCTTGAGCCACCGCGCCCAGCCTGGATGCAGGGTTTTTAAGCTGAAAAACCACATCCTGGTTTTAGGACCAAGAGGGTGAGGGGATGCAGGGCAAGCAACTTTACAGAAGCTATTACTGGCAGTTTCTGATAAGCAAAGGCAATCAGCTTTACATAGTGGACTTCAAGTTAAACATTACAATAGAAATATTTTTTTCCTTTTTCTTCTCAATCGCATTTTTCAGAGCAAGCTAGCTGTTTTTATCTACAGAAGCCAAGGTCAGCAGTTATTGCAAGGAGAATGGGGCAGCAGTTACAACTTATTTTTGGAAAAACAGCTTTATCTTGTATACATTGGCATTGCTTAGGTTCTAACTCTAGGCCACCTATAGCACACACTACAGCCTAGCAACAGAGTAAGATTCTTTTCCCCAAAAAGAAAAAATAAATAAAAAAGAGCCAAATGCCAGGCACAGTGGCTCATGCCTGTAATCCCAGCACTTTGGGAGGCTGAGGCAGGTAGATCACGAGGTAAACAGATCACGAGCATCCTGGCCAATATGGTGAAACCTCATCTCTACTAAAAATACAAAAAAATTATCTGGGCATGTTGGCGTACCTGTAGTCCCAGCTACTCAGGAGACTGAGGCAGGAGAATTGCTTGAACCCAGGAGATGGAGGTTGCAGTGAGCCGAGATCATGCCACTGCACTCCAGCCTGGTGCCTGGCAATGGAGCGAGACACTGTCTCAGAAAAAAAAAACAAGCCAAACAGCTCCTCTAGAGGCTAAGGTGGGAAGATCACCTGAACCCTGGAGTTGGAGGTTGCACTGAGCTTGAATTGCACCTTTGCACTCCAGCCTGGGTGACACAGTGAGACTCTGTCTCCACAAAAAATAAAAAATCTGTCTTTATGTACAAGAGATACCTGCTGCCAAACTCATTAAGAATAAATAATGCAACCAACTGTGTACTCTCAGAAACTTGAGAAATGTGACCAAGATTTCAGCCAGTGTTACCCTTGTACTGCAAAGCCCTGCAGAACCATCTGTGACATTTCTTTCTATTCACTCAAAAAAAGAAGAGATGAATTTTTTTTTTACGAATTATACCGTTCAAACCAACACATCAAGTGGTGCATTTAGAGATGTTGGTCGAGGTCTCAGAGGCCATGTGACTAGAGGAGGGGGCTGAGGTCTCAGAGGATACTCAGGAGAAGGTTGAGTGTTGGTTGAAGGAGCAGGTCATCCAAGTGAAGGAGTTGGCTGAAGTACTAGGTAAGACCTAGGTGAAGGAGCTGGCTGAGGGCTGAGAGGTCATGAGTAGATTATTTAGGTACTAGAGGAGACTCATTTGAAGGTGATAGCTAAAGGAGGCCCCCAAGGTAGAGAAGGTGGCTGAGGTTCCAGAGGCCATTAACTGGAGAAATATGCTGAGGTCCCAGAGGCCACACTGCTGGAGGAAGATGATAAGGTCCCCCATAGATAGACAGCTGGATGAGGTGGATAAGGTCCCCAAGGACAGACATCTGGATGAGGTGAATGGGGTGTATGGCATCCCCCAGGACAGATAACAGGATGAGGTGGTGGCGGTAACTCAAGACAGACAACTGGATGAGGTGGATAAAGTCCCATAGGAGGTGCAGCTGGAGGACGTGGTTGGGGGTCCTACAAAACAAACAGCTGGAAGACATGAAGGAGATCCCAGAGGACACTTGATTGCTGGAGGTGTCTGCAGTTTCAGAAGACCACCAGCTGGATAAGATGGTGGAGGTACCAGAGAGCACTTGACTGGAGGAGGTGACTGGTCTCAGAGAATCTTCACTTGGAGAAGGTGGTTAAGGTGGCACAGGACCCTCGAGTGAAGTAGGTGGCTGAAGTCCCAGAGGACACATGAGTGAAATAGGAGGTTGAGGTGACAGAAAACTTTAAAGTGGTGGAGTTGCCTGTGGTCTCAGAAAATCATTAGCTGAACAAGATGATACAGGTAACGGATTTAACTTGGGTGGAGTTGTGTGTGGTCTCAGAAAATCTTCAGCTGGAGGTGGTGGTAAAGATATCAGAGAACACTCAAGTGGAGTTGTGTGAGGTCTTAGAACATCCTCAGATGGAGACAGTGGTAGAGGTACTAGTGTACACTCAGGTGCAAGTGTCTGTGGTCACAAAAAATCATCAAGAAGGTGAAGAGATACCAGAAGACACTCTATTGAAATAGGTAGTTGAGGTCCCAGGGGACACTCAAAAAGTGGAGCTACCTGTAATCTCAAAAAATTATCAGTTGGAGAAAGTGGTTGAGATCCCAGAGGACACTGGATAGAAGATGTGTGTGGTCTCAGAAAATCATCAGCTGGAGATGATGGCATCAGTACCAGAAGACACTGGAGTGGTGGTGTCTGTGGTCTCTAAAGATTATCATCTGGAGAAGGTGGTAAAGGTGCCAGAAGATACTTGGGTGGAGCTGTGTATGGGCTCAGAAAATCATTGGCTAAAGGTGGCAGAGGTCACAGAAGACACTCATGTATTGGTGTCTGTGGTCTCAAGAACTCATCATCTGGAGAAGGTGGCAGAGGTACCAGAAGCATTCGGGTGGCTTTGTGTATGAGCTCAGAAAACCATTGGCTGAGGAAGGTAGTAGAGGTGCCAGAAGACATTCATGTGTAGGTGTCTGTGGTCCCCAAAAATTATCATCTGAAGAAGGTGGCTAAGGTCCTAGTGGACACTGGAGTCGAGGAGTTGTCAGAGGTCTCAGAATACCTTTAGCTGATGGGAATGGTTGAGCTCCCAGGTGACAGACAGCCTGATGGAGGAGGTGGCCAGGAACCCATCAGTGGTCTTGAAGAGTCAACCATGATGTAGGGTGAGTAGGGCAATCCTGAGAAATGATGATGCTGTGCTGCAGCCATATTAACCTGCAGGAAGAAGGAGGAAGTGTTTTGAAATATATTAATTTGACAGAATCACCAACAAGAACACAGGCTACACCTTATGTTGCTGCTGATAGTTTTTTGCACCTTTCCATCCTCCAGGTTTCAAAATAGCAGCATCAGTGTCATGAAGTCACCCTTCCACTAAGTACCACCGACAGCTGGGGAGTGAAAAAGAGTCATTAGGACAAACTGTTTTCTCCACATGCCACTGTGTCTGTCTGCAAATGTAGGCAGGCTGGGAGCCTGCCCCAGGGAAGACAAAGTCATAACACAGTAAGGAAGAAGCATGTTTCAGACACAGGAGTGTCTATGTCTATCCTCATTCCTCCCTTACCACCATCACCAGAGCATGTTCCCTGCATCAGATAAACAGCAAGTAAGAGAGGCATGAAAAACCCATTGTCCACACATGTTGCAGCTTCTTTTTGGAGAATGTTCTCCAGGCCTTGTATGTTCTGTCTCGATTCTCAGAACTCTGCAAGTGTGACCACCCTGCTCCAAATCTAAGAAAACAGAGGCTCCCTGAGGAGGGAGAGCATGTGCCAAGGGTCACACAGCTTGAAGGAGGCAGAGAGTGGAAGTTGATTCCAGCTCTGCCTACAGGACCCTCTCATTGCCCCTCTGCTTCCCTTTTGACAAAGGTCTTCTTCACTCTGCGGTGCCACCTGTGAAAACAAATGACTCTGGGGAAATGTAGATTCCTGAAGACATGCAGGGGAATTTGGAGAGGGTTTTCTGACAGAACAATCCAACATACAGAAGTCAGTTAGGCATGGCTAGAATATTTCTTTTAATTCACAGGTAATACAAATTTTAAGTGCATTTTGACATAAATAATACTATATTCCATGTAAAAATGAGGTAGGAATTCTGAAAAAAAAAAGCAAGTTTTAGAAAAGTGCTTGACTTCAAGTGTACAATTTCCATCATATGTAATCATAGGACTTGACAGCTGTTGAAAGTACAGGGGCCACATGAGAACAAGCATAGCCAAGCATCATTTAAGGCCTTCACTGGGAATTGTCGCTGTGGGTAATAGATTACATTCACTTTCACTAACTCACAGTCAAGGCATATTTTCTATTACAAATATGGAAACTCTGATACTTAGAATATTAGATTGGGGCACAACACAAAATGAAAGGCACTTTTGCACAACACAGTTACCAACAGGAATGGGACTGTGATGAACTATGGAACTGAACTTGTCAAGGAGCATTTAAAATTGTACAAAGCACATATTAATGTTGAATTAATGAGTTTTCATTTTTATCACTTCTGGGAATACAGCATGTATTTCAACTGTTAATCACCTACTTTATAGAAGAAAAGAAAATCACAGCAAAATAAGAAAAAATCCCACATATTTCAGAAATAGACACCACAACATCTTGAGTAAAACATATCAGTCAGAGTACATTGGGCCATGAGACCTAGAGCAGTGGAGGTCAGTCCACTCAAGATGACTAGCTGGGAATAAAGAAGCCAGAAAGCTTGTGGGGAAGATTTTGCTTCTTAAAAAGTCAAGACAGAAAAGGTATCACAGTACCCACAGAGCAGATGCTAGGCCAGGACAAGGTGATGCAGGGAAAGAATACAGTGTCCTGATACAGGCAGAGTGAAAATTACTCCAGCATTTATTTCTGTCGTCTCTGTGTTTTCAGTTGGGACACAGCTGCTGTTCCTCATGGGAACTGAATGAAGTCCCGAATCTGCTAAGGGCCAGAGAAGGGAATGGGGCTAAATCTGGCTTGCATCTTCTGTGCAGAATAAGGAACCCTCCATGCTCTCTGCTGCCATCTCACTCTCTTTTCCACACTCACGTCCTTTACCAGAGTCACAGGGTTTATTGGCCAGATGTCTCAGAGGAGCCTGGAGCCCTCTGGGCCTCAGCCGTGAGGAAGACACAGCAGAGCCCTGGTCCAGAGTTTTCTTAACTCTCAACAGGCTGTGGACAGGTCGGGCACTAACCAGTTGGAAAGGAGCTTTAAATCAGGGTTCCCAGTACATATCAAAGGAAATCACCCATCATGTGAGCACAGACTCAAAATAAAAATGGAAACAGTCATGAATGGGAAGAACAACTATAGGCCCAGGACAGGAGCCCACTACTCCTTTTCTTCAAGCTATAGGGACATTTAAAATTCTGTGGATTCACAGTGAATCTAACCTCCATATATCACCAGGCATTGTCAATATTTATGAACAGAAATGAACATAATTATACCAACAGTCATGAGAAAATATAAGAGCTACAGAAATTAAATGGAGGCGAGGTCTGGTGGCTCACACTTTTAATCCCAGCACTTTGGAAGGCTGAGGCATGTAGATGACTTGAGGTCAAGAGTTAGAGACAGCTAATAATCTTAAATATACACGCACCAAATACAGGAGAACCCAGATATATAAGACAAGTTCTTAATGACTTATAAAGAGACTTAGACTCCCACACAATAATAGTGGGAGACTTTAACATCACATTGTCAATATTAGATCAACAAGATTGAAAATTAACAAGGATATCCAGAACTTGAACTCAGACCCGGAACAAGTAAACTTAATAAACATTTATAGAACTCTCCACCCCAAATACACAAAACATACATTCTTATCAGTACCACATCACACCTACTCTATAAGTGACTACATAATTGGAAGTAAATCAATCCTCAGTAATTGCATAGCATTTCACAGGTTTAAATGAAATATTGGTTGGCTGCTTATTTGTTATTTTCCTCCCTTATTCCTTTCTGTCTTCATTGTTAAGCACAATTATTGGCATAAAAGAGGTTTTCAGTACCCATTTTTAGACTGCATTCTAGCCTGGGCAATAAAGCAAGACTCCCGGTCTCTCTCTCTCTCTTTCTCTTCCTCTTTCTTCTCTCTTTCATTCTTTTCTTCTTTTTTTTTCTTTTTTTCTCTCTTTTTTCCCAAAAAAAAAAAATTTTTTTTGAGAAGGAAAGCCGAATACACACTTCATAACAGTCATACTTAAATAGGACTTTAATAAACACATAAAACACACCCAGACTCTGACTTTACTCCATTCAATAAAAATTTATTTGAGATGAATTTGAAAAATAAAAATAAAAAATAAAATAAAATAGCCTTTTATCAAAGGTTTTAGTAAAGTGATGAGTTTTGTCACATGAATGCAAACAAGTTAAAACTGAGTTTTAGGCTTCCCTATTAACAGTTCTTTTTGGCTAGTCTGTCATTCTCCTCAGCCATCTTCTTTTGTTCTTCACTCCCCCTTCCAGGTCCTCTCTTCTTTGCTCTCTCCCACCCCCAATTTTGTCCCCCTTTTAAGGTCCCTGCCTCCCTTAGCTTCCCATTATCACTATAAATACACTACCAGAAATAAAATTAAAAAAAAAAAAAGTTAGAGACAAGCCTGGCAAGCATGGTGAAATTCTGTCTCTACTAAAAATACAAAAAGAAAAAATTTGCCAAACATGGTGGCAGGCACATGTACTCCCATCTACTTGGGAGGCGGAGACAGGAGAATTGCTTGAATTCAGGAGGAGGAGGTTGCAGTAAGCAAAAATCATTCCACTGCACTTCAGCCTAAGTGACAGAGCATGGTTTTCTTTTTTTTTTTTTTTTTTGAGACGGAGTTTTGTTCTTGTTACCCAGGCTGGAGTGCAATGGCATGATCTCAGCTCACCACAACCTCCGCCTCCTGGGTTCAGGCAGTTCTTCTACCTCAGCCTCCTAAGTAGCTAAGATTACAGGTACGCGCCACCATGCCCAGCTAATTTTTTTGTATTTTTAGTACAGACGGGGTTTCACTATGTTGACCAGGATGGTCTCAATCTCCTGACCTCGTGATCCACCCGCCTCGGCCCCAAAGTGCTGGGATTACAGACGTGAGCCACCGCGCCTGGCCAGAGCATGGTTTTCAAAAAGAAAAGAAAAAAGAAAGAAATCAATTGGGAAGTTTTAGGGTCACACTTCAAATGTTAAAAGAGTAACATTACATAGAAATTTAGCTTACTAAAGGAGTTACATAGTTAACAACAAACAATTTAAACAAGCAAAAAGAATAAAGGAAGTTCCAAAGAGTGCAAATAAATGCTTCTTTTCTTAAAGCAGATCTCATGGTACTGCTTTATTGATCCCTGAAGAATTGCCCAAAAGTCTCTGCATTCATCAGCACTTAACAGCTCCTATTCTAAAATGCTATTGTTGTTACTTTTCTCAAATGAAAGAAAAATAAAGCCTTCATACTGACTCAAGGTGGGAAGGGGAGCAGGCCCATTTGCCTTGCAGGCTCATCTTAGCAATTAAAAGTAACCAAGACTTTAGGGTGGGGCAATGTCCACAGTCAGTGGAGGGCCCTGAGCTTCATCATTCACAGGGAACCAGCCAAGAGGCATTCAGCTAGGGCACCTGAGAAAAATGGGGTCCTGCCACCCAAAGGGACAACTGTTCTCTTCATAAGTGCTTGGCACTGTTTCCAGGAAACATGACAATTACCCCACCCAAGCCCTCACCACCAAAAAGAGAAGCAGGGTGTGTGGATTGTGCAGCAGAAATTAAGTGGCTGCCTTGATGGGAGCTCCTACCTCTCCAGAAAGGGTTCTCTAGGCCCAGGTGTTTCTTGGCCAGCTCCTCACTCATGTGTCTCTCTGGCACTCTTCTTTTTCCTCATTTCCCATCTAGAAGATAGAGAAGGAATTGACTTGAAGAAGAATTAAAACACCACGTTCTTACTACTCAAAGCTTCATCTTAAAAAAAAATCCTTAAAAATGATCATCACAACTGGGTGAGGTGGCTCACGCCTGCAATCCCAGCACTTTGGGAGTCTGAGATGGGTGGATCATCTGATTTCAGGTTTGGGAGCAACCTGACTAACGTGGAGAAACTGTCTCTACTAAAACTACAAAATTAGTCAGGCATAGTGGCACATCATTTTAATTCCATCTACTCAGGAACCTAAGGCAATGAATTGCTTGAACCCAGGAGGTGGAGGTTGTAGTGAGCTGAGATTGCACCACTGCACTCCTTCTGAGTGACAGAGCCAGACTCTGGCTCAAAAAGAAAAAAAATCCATCACAATGACCTACCTGTGCTGCTTGTAGGCAGCCTTCCTCTGCCATCTCCCTATCCAAGGCTTGAGCACAGAGCTGTAGGGAGAAAAATACAACCATGTCCTAACCTCACTGACTGTGCTCAAAAGCAAGGAAAACAACAAAACTTACCCAGTTGTCAAGAGCCTTTCTTGCAGAAGGGGCCATATGAAAAAGCCACCACCCCCAGCCTGAAAGAACATCTTTTAAATTCTTTGTAGAATTTAATTCTTCTGATTTGAACTCCCAGGTAACACAAATTACCTGGGATTCAGAAGTAGTACATCAAAAAACATCTCATGGTGGCTCATGCTTGTAACCCCAGCACTTTGAGAGGCTGAGGCAGGTGGATCACTTGAGATTGGGAGTTTGAGACCAGCCTGGCAAACATGGTGAAATCCCATCTCTACTAAAAATACAAAAATTGGCTGGGTGTGGTGGCAACCACCTGTTGTTTCAGCTGCTGAGGGTGGGGGCTGAGGCAGTAGAATCACTTAATCCCAGGAGGTAGAGGTTGCAGTGAACCAAGATCACACCATTACACTCCAGTCTCGGTGACAGAGCAAGACTCTCAAAAAAAAAAACTCCTCACAACTTATATTAACAATTCTCTTTTCAGGACTAAGTGGAGTAGGGACTGTTAAATGCAGCAGGGCATGGTGGCTCACACCTGTAATTCCAGCATATTGGGAGGCTGAAGTGGTGGATCACCTGAGTTCAGAGTTCAAGAGCAGCAAAAATGGTGAAATCCTGTCTTTACCAAAAATACAAAAATTAGCCAGGCATGGTAGTGCACACCTGTAATTCCAGCTACGTGGGAGGTTGGGGCAGGAGACTCACTGGAGCCTGGGAGGCAGGGGTTGCAGTGAGCTGAGATTGTGCCACTGCACTCCAGCCTGGGCCAGAGACTGAGACTCAATTAAAAAAAAAAATCACTCACTCATAGGTGGGTGATGAAAAATGAGAACACATGGACACAGAAAGGGTAGTACTAAACACTGGGGTCTATTGGGGTAAAAGGGGAGGGATAGCCTGGGGAGAAATGCCAAATGTGGGTGAAGGGGAGAAGAAAAGCAAAGCACACTGCCATGTGTGTACCTACGCAACTGTCTTGCATGCTCTGCTCATGTACCCCAAAACCTATAATCCAATAAAAAAAAAAGATATGTTGGATAAATGAAAAAAAAAAATCACTGTTAAATGTGCCTAGATTTCTTCATAACTAATCTATTTTCTGTTTCCTACATATCTTGAAAGGCAGTCCTGAATAGAAGATAATTATGTAGATTGTAAAAATAAAACATACTTTCTCTTTCTTTGAATATACAACAGCATTGTGGGATTCATGCTTTTTTTTTTTGGATCATTGTTCAGAAGGAGGGTCAGACCCAACCACATTTTTACTGTCATGAATGGCAAGAGAAAATGTACAGTTCAATTTACCCAATGGACAAAAATACTCAAATAATGGCACAACTTAGCAGGCAAATTCCTATCAAGTACATTCTTTGGACATACTGATCCCTCTCCACTTGCAACCGGGAACATGCATTTTGAGTGATGTCATTCAAAATTACCCTGCCCAGACACACTCTTCATTGATTCTCTGAAGGTAGTTCCAACAGATTCTCTGGGGCTTTCTCTGAATCATGAGAGGCAGTGCAGCTCTTCCCTTCAATTTTCTGCAGTTTGTCACCTCTTCTCTATGATCTCAGAGGAAGTTTGTCTCAGGCCAACTGTTTGTTCCTTGGGCTCTTTCATTTCCCCTAAAAGTCACTTACTATCCTTCTAAGTTGCCTCCATCTTCATCTATCTCCCTCTCTCCTAAAAAGAGAGTGCTCCTTAAGCATCAACATCTGAACCTTCTTGCAGTCTCATGTTTTGGCTGGCTCCCATTTTTATGCCTGTTCTATGTTTTTCTTCTGTTAAGCTGTCAGCTGTTAGTTCATTTCTGCACTGAACTTTCAGATGGGAGAGTAAAAGCTTTCCTTCCAGCCATACAATAGAATTATGAAGCAGAAAAGTTTAGAAAGAAATTCTTACTTAAGTGACAAAGCTTTATACTCCATTTCTGATAGAGAGGACAAAGGTTAAAAAAAAAAAAAAAACTGACTGAGTGCAGTGGCTCACGTCTGTAATCCCAGGACTTTGGGAGGCTGAGGAGCGTGGATCACAAGGTAAAGAGATCGGGACCATCCTGGCCAACATGATAAAACCCCATCTCTACTAAAAAATACAAAAATTAGCTGGGTGTGGTGGCGCACACCTGTAGTCCCAGCTACTCTGGAGACTGAGGCAGGAGAATTGCTTGAACTGGGGAGGTGGAGGTTGCAGTGAGCCGAGATCGCACTACTGCACTCCAGCCTGATGACAGAGCAAAACTCCACCTCAAAAAAAAAACACACAACTTATTTTTGACCCAAAACTTTGTTGTCATTCTATTAAACAAACACCAACCTATTTAATTTTCATAATATAAATGGCAGATATTTTCATAATTCTTATGCTAATAAATCATTTCCCTGATGTTTTTGGTAAAACCCAATATTCATAATAAAGTCCGGTATCATGAATTGCTTTAAATAATTTCTTCTTTTTTTTTTTTTTTTTTTGAGACGGAATTTCCCTCTTGTTACCAGGCTGGAGTGCAATGGCGCAATCTTGGCTCACTGCAACCTCCGCCTCCTGGGTTCAGGTAGTTCTCCTGCCTCAGCCTCCTGAGTAGCTGGGATTACAGGCACGTGCCACCGTGCCCAGCTAATTTTTTGTATTTTTAGTAGAGACGGGGTTTCACCATGTTGACCAGGATGGTCTCGATCTCTTGACCTCGCGATCCACCCGCCTCGGCCTCCCAAAGTGCTGGGATTACAGGCTTAAGCCACCGCGCCCGGCCCTAATAATTTCTTCTTATTTGTGATTACATGTATACCTCTACAGGAAGTTAGGATACTCTCACATAAGCTAATTTTTTGGAGAAAAAGGCCAATGTAGAAACTCCTGGAAACACATAGTGATAGGCATCCTCAGAACGCCAAGAAAGTCATGCCCAGGATACAAATAATCAGGTGGAAAACTGATCATCTGGAATAATAATAATTGAAATAATGAAAAGGTCAATGACATTAACAATATTTCAGTAAAAAATAGTAATCTGTAGAAACTATCAACCTTCTCCAAGTGGTAACCACGTCCCTCAGATATCACCAGGTGATTTCACTGTTTCAAAAAAGATTGGAAGTTACAGTTTTATGTTTTTTGCATGTCTGGTAGTGTTTTTAGGTATTCCAAATGTAGAGTGGCTTTTTTTTTTTTTTTTTTTTTTTTTGAGATGGAGTTTCACTCTTGTTACCCAGGCTGGAGTGCAATGGTGTGATCTCGGCTCACTGCAACCTCCCCCTCCTGTGTTCAGGCAATTCTCCTGCCTCAGCCTCCTGAGTAGCTGGGATTACAGGCACGCGCCACCGTGCCCAGCTAATTTTTTGTATTTTTAGTAGAGATGGGATTTCACCATGTTGACCAGGATGGTCTCGATCTCATGACCTAGTGATCCACCTGCCTCAGCCTTCCAAAGTGCTGGGATTACAGACTTTTTTTTTAATTGACATAAAGCAAGTATATCCGATTTTTTGGCTTCCCTGGGCAATATTGAAAGAAAGAAACTTATCTTAGGCCACACATAAAATACATTAACACTAACAATAGCTGATGATCTAAAAAAAAAATCACAAAAAGGCCAGGTGTGGTGGCTCATGCCTGTAATCCCAGCACTTTGGGAGGCTGAGACTAGCAGATAATCTGAGGTCAGGAGAGCCAGACCAGCCTGGCCAACATAGTGAAACCTCATCTCTACCAAAAATACAAAAATTAGTCAGGTGTGGTGGCAGGTGCCTAGAATCCCAGCTACCCAGGAGGCTGAGGCAGAAGAATCGCTTGAACCAGGAAGGTTGCAGTGAGCCAAGTTCGCGCCATTGCACTCCAGCCTGGGAGACAAGAGGGAGAGTTTGTCTCAAAAAAAAAAATTACAAAAAAATTTTTTTTTCAGACAGTGTCCCGCTTAGTCACCCAGTCTAGAGTGCAATGTCACAATCTCGGCTCACTGCAACCTCCGCCACCTGGGTTCAAGCCATTCTCCTGCCTCAGCCTCCTGAGTAGATGGTATTGCAGGTGCCTGCCACTATGCCTGTCTAATTTTTATATGTTTAGTAGAGATAGGATTTCACCATGTTGGTCAGGCTGGTCTGGAACTCCTGACCTTAACTCATCTGCCAGCCTCAGCCTCCCAATTACAAGTGTGAGCCACCACACCTGGCCTGTCATTTCTTTATATTTGAATAACATAAGGACTTTAAGACCCTTTCTCCTTTGGGTCAATCAATGATCTGCACCATTCACATTTTACAAAACAAAGGACAATACAGTCCTCATTCACATCCTGGTCATGTCACTCCTAGTGACTCCCATATTGCAAACCTCCCAGCAGGTGCAGCCCTTTTCCCTCCATCTAATGGGCTTCTCGGCTCCCATCACACTGACCGGACACAGACTCCCTGGAGGCAGCCCCCAAGAGCAGAAGACAAAGATGACTCAGAGTTTCTAAAAAGTCATCAAACCAGATGACACAAAACTCAAATGACATTTCACTTTGTTTTGGTTCATTTTCTTTGAGACAAGAGAGCAGTGGGAGTCCAACTAATCTTTTATGGAATCTTTTGTAGAGATGGGGTTTGTCTCTGATGTCCAAGCTAGCCTTTTTTTTTTTTTTGAGACAGAATTTTGCTCTTGTTACCCAGGCTGGAGTGCAGTGGCACAATCTCGGCTCACCAAAACCTCTGCCTTCTGGGTTCAGGCAATTCTCCTGCCTCAGCCTCCTGGGTAGCTGGGATTACAGGCATGCGCCTCCATGCCCAGCTAATTTTTTGTATTTTTAGCAGAGATGGGGTTTCACCATGTTGACCAGGATGGTCTCAATCTCTTGACCTCATGATCCACCCGCCTCAGCCTCCCAAAGTGCTGGGATTACAGGTGTGAGCCGCTGCGCCCGGCCTACCCAGGCTAGTCTTAAACTCCTGGACTCAGGTGATCTGCCCACCTTAACCCCCCAAAGCACTGAAATTACAGGACTGCACTGTGTAATTTGTCACATGACACAGCCCAATAACAAGGAATAAACCCTATGAGTCCAGCGTCTACTCACACGTGTGGCTTGATGGCTGGGAAACCCCAGCAGGAGGAGCCAAAAGAGCAGCTATGACACCCGCATGTCCTGGTCCTGTCAGGGCACTCTGAGGAGGCCAGAACAGAGGTGAGGGTGGTTTAGGGCTGGGGGAGGGGGGAGATCTGAGTTGGGGAGGGGGATGGGAGGGAGGGGAAGGGGGGATGTTGGGTACCCGGAGGAGGGGGTCTGGGAAAGGATCTGGTTCAAACTAAGTCTTCAAAGGTGAGTGGGAGGTTCAGCTACAAGTCAGGAAGAAAGTCTATCAGGGAAGCAACAGGACATGTGAGGCAAAAAAGCAGGAGGCTCAGGAGCAATTAGACAGAGACTAGGGCTCTGGTTTCCACCAAACCTTCTGTCTGGGCACTGCCTAAACAATTCTTGGGCTTTATACTCAATCTCCACCAATCCCTGGCCCCGGAATGTGGTACCTCACAGTGGACATTCCACAGAGCACCCGCATCCTCCAATGCCCCTTCCCCATCTCAACCCCCCCAGCACCTCCCAAGGCTCTCTGAAACCTTCACAGACCTGACTTCTAGTCTTCCCCACCAGCTCCCTGTCTTTTCTTCTAGGAGGCTTCTTCCTTCCTGAGCTCCCAGGATTTCTCATGGTCCGTCTTAGCTGCAAAACATAAGAAATAAATGATGGCAGGATAGAAGGAAGAACCTGACACATGAGCAGAGTGGGAGGCTCCACAGCCCCCTCTCAGCCATTCTTATTCTAAGCAACAAAACATCAGAAGGATGTGGAAAGTCCCAATAGTAAGCAATCTCCCTCACATCCATGGAGCCATCCATTCGTCATCCTGTATCTCGGGAACGAGTGTTGGAGCTACACTGATTTTAAGCATGCATGGTACATTTACAAAAATTAACCTGACTTATTTTGTTCATCAAGGAAATTTCAATATATTTCAGACAAACCCAATCACACAGCAGGTTTCTGATCACAGAATTGTGCTAGACGTCAATGATTAAAAGCTAACCAAAAATTATTATATGCTTGGAAACTCAAAGTGCCCTTATAAGATATCAACAGAAGAAAGAATCCAAAATGAAACAAAATTGCCTTTACACTCAGTGAGAATATCATAACATGGCAATCAAATGTCTCCATGTGGCCTGGGAATTCCACTGCATGGCACAAGGTTTTGTGGTCTCAAATTACCCCCAACCCACCTAGACATGTTAACATCTGAAACAGCGTGATGATGTCACTTATTTATATTATCTTACTGCCTGTGAAGGTGGACTTTTAATTCTGAACCCTAATGAGGGGGAGAAAACCAAGTTGATTCTCATGGTTGAACTACCAGGGATGTCCAAGGACTCTGTGCATTTCAAGAGACAAAGTTCATCAACCTCTCTCCTGGGGGATTTGCTGCCACAATACCCAGAGGGTTTGGCAGCATCATGAGTGATTGCTAGGGAGTGCCAAGCTGGTGGGAAGGACCCAGGGGTCTGTTGACCAGGTAGGATTCCCACCATCAATTATCTTTCCTGGACCCATCCTCAGCTAAGCTTCCCAAAGGCCTGCTTCTGCCTAATCAAACAGAGTGTGCTCAAACTTAGGCCTCTCACAGCTGAAAACCACTGCTTTAATTCTCCTTACAATTTACTGTGACATAAAGTTATTGTAAACTGCAAATATTCTATTCATGCTACAAATGGAAAGCCAATGCCTTTACCATAAATAGAAAAACAACCCTGAGACACAAGGAAAACAAAAACAAAACAGGAATCACACAACTATGGCATTCAATTCTATTCATATGCTGTCACCTGCATAAAGAGCCCCAGATTTGAGTTATCTGGGTTGTAAAATGAGAGACCAAGTAAGTGGGTGTTGAAGTCAGATTAGCCCAAAAATGAATGGTAGAGAGCACCATCATGTCCATGAAGTGTTGCTGAGGTCACCTTGGTTATAGCCCAAGCAGAGACAGGGCAAGAAAGGAGATGTGGGCAGAGTTTGGGGCCTCCAACCAGGGAGATGATTTATGCAGCCCAGGAAAGCCTCCTCAAAGCCAGGGTCAACCTCCCTTGCAGGCAGTTCCCTCATGGAGACAGGACCAGGCCCCTTAGATTTGAGACCAGCTGTGCTGCTGACCAGCTGGGTGACCCTGGGCTGCTTTCCTTCCACACATGTGAGGGTCAGTTGCTGTGTCAATGACTGAGAATAGGAGGAAGCAATACGTTGAGCAACTGTGTATCGAATGTCATCACCTCCCAAGGACATCTTTGCTTCCAGAGCTGGCACCTTGGAAGGTCCTTGGCCACTAAAAACAATAATGATGATGAAGGCAGTAAATCATTATTTATGGCTGTTGAGGGAGGGCCAGGGGGTAGGGCTCATAGGTCCTTGATAATAATGAGGGTCTGGGGACTCCTGGGGACAGCTGAGTGAGTCCTGTAGGTCTCCTGGGTCCCCAGGGGCCAGGTCTGTCTTCAGTGGCATTAGGCCTAGACTGGGATGCTGAGGCAGCCACTGGAGCATCAGCAGGCAGGACAAACAGCCACAGAGGCAGTGGATCCATTGGAGGTGGCAGGTGTAGGATCAACTGTACACCAAGTACAGTCACCAAGCCTGGCTGACCACTTCCCCCTGCAGATGATGCCCTGTCCCTTGCCTCACACTTTGACAGGGCAGCGGCTGGCACCTGGGGCCCCATGGAGCATCACTCTAAGACCTCTGCATCCTGGTCATTAAATGGGCAGTTGAGTCACCAAAGGCCATTGGAACAAGGAGGAAGAATCAGGTCCCACGATGTTTTTGGACAGTATTTAGCACAGGAAAATGCACAGAATGCATGCATGACACAAGGGAACTGTTGATGTAGGAGCCAATATTTTATGACCTCCACCCCTAATCTGAGCACTCTCACCTGTGCAATCTGAAAGAAACAGGAGACTTGCAGGAAAGATAGCACCTGGATTTAACTTAAAGGAACTAAAACATTGAATGTTCACACTCCTGATATCCTTCCAAATCAACTCTCTCAATGCTCCTATCTTCACCACTATCATATGAAGTAACTGAGGCAGTCAGAGACTTACTGACTCAATGCCACTAAGTTGACTTCTGAGTTCACTGCTGATCACATCTGAACAAACTGCTTTTTCTGAAGTCTACCCTGTTTGATCATGATGCTGTTGATTTTGTGCACCTCTGGGACAAACCCTATCTGGTAGAGGATAAAGCAAATGCAGTGACTCAGTCTTGCTGTCATTTCCCATCAGTTCCCCACTCACCTCCTCTGTCCCTCCACAGTCTCCCACAAAGGCTGACACTGTATGGTGGCCTTAATGGAGTCCACTGAGTATTTCAGGTTCTCCTTTGGGCCCCTTGAAGGTGGAGGTAGTTGTGGGATTTGCTTGGACTCAGGAGATGTGAGTGGAAGTGAAGTGTGTCACCTCGAGGCAAAAGAGTTGGCAGCCATTGGGACTGGCCTCCCTTTTCCTCATCTCTTAGAGCTGCTGACAGGTCCCCTATCAAGGATGCTTCTTTATTCTCATGGCAGATGAGGGGATGTGAGGCACAGGGCCCAGGAGAGCCATGGAGGATGTGCAGCATGAGCAGACAAAGAGCCTTCAGTGTTGTAAATTTCCATGGTTTTGGGCTGTTTGTTACTTACAGTGATACCTAGTCCATCCTAGCAGACATACACCGTCTACTCCGTGCTCTGTGAAGCAGACTAGCCTACTGTCAGAACGTAAACTGGCTGTCAAGCACATGTAGGCTTCAGTTCTGGCTCTGCCTTTTATTAACTGCAACCTCAGGCATATAACTTTCAGTCTCAGAGCCTCAGTTTCAACTCTGTAAAATGGGTTGGCTATATATTATATACTATTATTTTATTTTATATGTAATATATGTAGTATAAAATATGTATATATATATATATATATATATATATATATATATATTTTTTTTTTTTTTTTTTTTTTTGAGACAGTTTCACTCTTGTTACCCAGGCTGGAGTGCAGTGGTCGATCTCGGCTCACCGCAACCTCCGCCTCCTGGGTTCAGGCAATTCTCCAGCCTCAGCCTCCTGAGTAGCTGGGATTACAGGCACGCGCCACCATGCCCAGCTAATTTTTTGTATTTTTAGTAGAGACGGGGTTTCGCTATGTTGACCAGGATGGTCTCGATCTCTTGACCTCGTGATCCACCCGCCTCGACCTCCCAAAGTGCTGGGATTACAGGCATTAGCCACCGCGCCCAGCCTGGGTTGGCTATATTATCTCAGGTTAGGGAGAGAATTAAATGATATAAACATGCATGTAGAGCATTGAGCACAGGGCCTGGCACACACAATGAGTACAGTGTTAGCCATGTAGCTTCATAATGTGAATTGATTGTCAATACCCAGACAATGCAGCAATGTATTACAAAAAGAGAAATTTAAACTTATGTGCATGTGTATTTATTGACTTTTAAACAGATAAGATAAAACTATGGACCAGGCAAAGTAGCTCATGCCTGCAATCCCAGCACTTTTTGAGGCCATGGTGGGCAGATCACAAGATTAGGAGTTCAAGATCAGCCTGGTCAGTATGGTGAAATCCTGTCTCTACTAAAAATATGAAAGTTGGCCAGGCATGGTGGTGTGCACCTGTAATTCCAGCTATTCAGGAGGCTGATGCAGAAGAATTGCTTGAACCCAGGGAGGCAAAGGTGGCAGTAAGCTGACATCACAGTACTGCACTTCAGCCTGAGCGAAAGAGTGAGACTCTGTCTCAAAAAATAATAAACCATGTACATTCTTTCATAGCTAGTGTGTTTCTTTTAAATAGTATATCGTTAAAATATTTTTAACTCAAAAACAAAAGATCATTTTTGAGATTATCATTTTAAATGACAAGATTATGCTCAATTTATGGAGTAATTTAATTATTACTATTGGACTTTTTGTAGATTGCAAAGAGCATTCAAAACAAATGAAGTAGGATAAAAAGTATGTATTACATGTTGTAAATATGACTTTGTTAAGTCTTTTATTCAGAAATATAGAACACATATACATAATATAGAATTTATTTATTATGAGTCATGTTAAAAAATAGCTTAAAAGCTGCTGATTTGTTTCCTTTTCAATTTTGCAGGATAATTCTTTTTTTTTGACAGAGTCTCA